CGAGATTTTCCCTGGGCGGCTGCGGAGGCGCTTGCCCAGGGTGCCCAGAGAAGCTGTGGCTGCCCCATCCCTGGCAGTGCTCACTGGCTTTTTCTCCCCAGTCCAGACACACACACAGGACCTGCTGCTAGAAGTCAAGGGCAGAGTTAAGCCTGCTCAGCGTGACAGTGATTTTTCAGTTCAAGTTCCTCTTCCCGTTCCAGAAACTGTGGAAAAACATATTGCAGCATTTAGTAAATCCCGGGCTGGGCAGCAGCAGCGGGCTCAGCCCTGGGGGGATGGGCTGAGGATGTTGCATGGACCCGCTGAAGGTGCAGGTGCCCCAACCCCTGTGCCCATCACCCCAAGCCTGTTCCTTGGCCTCTCTTCCAGATGTCCTTCTACTTCTCGGACAAAGCAGTGCTGCTTTTTGACTTCTGGAGCGTCCACACCCCCACAGGTAGGCTGCCAGCCCCGAGACACCGTCCGTCTGTCCACCCACCCATCCATCCATCCATCTGCCACTGCCTGTGCTCTCCACCTGGGAGGAAGGATGTGGAGCACAGAACTGAAGAGCAGCTCTGAACTTCTGTAAGGAGCAGTGAAGAGCAGCACCCCCCAGCAGTAACCCTGGGGCACTTACTGTGTGGAGGGCTCAGGGCAGAGCTCAGGGCACTGCTGCCCCTCTCCTACCCTGGTGCTGCCTTAGGCAGGCTCCATCCTTTTCTGCCCCAAAGCAGCAGACAGGGGGGTGTTGGAAGCATCCCCCCCCTGCCCCAGCCCTACCAGCCCCCGCAGGTTGGATCAGCTTCCCAGTTTTGGTTGGTTGTGGTTTTTTTTATTATCCCAGAATACATTTTAACCCCCATTTTTTTAGTAGAGTCAATGCAAAGATGCTTGTTCTTTTCAGAGCAATCACCCTCCAAAAAAATACTTCCTAAGAATTTAGGGTGAGGAATTGGGCTAAATACACCATTTTCCAGTGCTTCACCAACCTGCTGCCCAATTCCAATCCTGGGAGCCCATTCCCTCCACTTTATCCCATGGATGTCACAGAATACTTTGTGTTGGAAAG